AAATTAATTCTTTAAAAATAGAAGATAGTTAATACTTCAATTATATATAATTAAAATTTTGTAATATTAATTTATAAATTATTTAATATTATTAGAGTTTAAAAAATATTTTTGATAAAAATAATTATATATAATTGGAATTTCTATGTATTTACAAGTTAGAGAAATTTTACTAATATTAATAATTAAAAAGTATTTAAAATGATTATTTAAAAAATTATTAATAATTTAATTTGTCAAAAGAATTAAAAAATTATTATATTCAAAACAAACAGGAACAAAGCTAGCTAATTTTTATTGAGGGGCTAAAAGTTAAAAAGAATAAAAGTTACAAATTTTTAAAACTAATATATTGAATTTAACTATTAATAATTAAAAGATTTATAATAAAAAATAATTTTATATAACATGTAAATCAAAGGAAACAAAAGAAAAAAATTTATAATAGTACTCTAGGAAAATTTTGCTCGATGATAACAATATCTTTTTTAATATAAATAACTAAATTATTTGCAAGAAACTTATTATCCATTTTGTTTCGAAATCTTGTTTTTCTCAATATAATCGACTAAAAAATTAATGTAGTCAACATCTAATATTTTTATTTTATTATATTTAAATTTATAATATTAAATATTAAATTATAATGCATAAAATATAAATAATTAAATATGATATACAGAATTAACAATTTTTTTATACTCAAGATAATTTCCTTTCAACTAAATATAAAATGTAAAGAACATTAAAAACATATACTCAAGATAATTTTTGCTTATATAATTAAAATTAATAAAAAATAATATATTAGTGAAATTTTAAACAACAACCTATAATGCAACACTAGAACTTATATTTGAGAATTACATATATAATAATTTTTTTTATTTTTAAAAATTAAAATCAATAAAAATAAAATCCACATAATAGAAAAAAAAACCATGACAAGTATGAGATATAACCTGTATAACAAAAAAAAATATGGTTGATGATTCTTAGAAATTTTAAAAAAAAATCTATAGAAACTTAAAATATATGAGCAAATAGAATATAATTGAAAAAATAAATAATAATATAAATAAAAAAAATTAAGTAAATATTTTATTTTTTTATAATTTCATAATATAGGGATAGAAAAAAAAGAAAAGATAGGTGGAGAAACTTAAAAAATAAAAAAAAATTAAGAATTTGAGTAAAATTGAATAAAGTTTGTAAAGTCATTTTATTATTTTTTAATTATATTATTTATTTAATAAAAATTATTTTAAAAAATTATTAAAAAAATATAATATTAAAAAAGCTTCAAAAAATTTGGGGAGGTCATGGCCCATCCATTACAAAGGGACGCTCTACCCTAGAAAACAGATAATTTCATAAGTTCATAAATAATTAAAAACATAATCGTTATATAAATATGATGTTAAGTAAATCATAAATTTAATTTTTGTAATCATAAAATTTAATTCTTTAACTACAACCTTTAGTATAACTCATAATCATGTATACTACCATTCTCTAAATCATTATTAATTGTTATATCCTGCTAATAGAATTATATGCTAACTACTATAATTCAACAACGAGAGTGTCAGTTAAAATTTCTCTACGTAAGTATACGTATCGAATAAACAATATATTAGCAAGTAGAATGTCGATCCCATAGAAAATTGATCTAAAATTTTACTAAGTACTAAAATTAGAACAAATTAATCTTATCCAAACACTCAAAATTAATTGATTAACTAAAACTAATTAACTAAATTTAAAATAACAGGAAAATCAAAAAAATATAACTTGAGTAAATATCAAATCAAACAAGTCTAGAATTACAATATCCTTCACATTTCATCTAAATCTTACTTTCCTTTCTTAACTTATTTCAATAGTTTGAATTACTTAGAGTCCTAAATTATTTATAAGGATGTCTCTACTTATCTTATAAAAATATCTATTTTAACCAAGACACTATATCCCTATGTCAATTGAAATTAAATAGATTCATTAAGTTCAGGCTCTAATCTAGCTACATATGGCCTATAGGTAT